CAATTTTTAAGGAGTCCACTTTGGCCAAGAAAAGTAAAAACTCGGGACCGGTTGTGGCTCCTGTCTTAAATACACTTGCATAAAGTAAATGTCGAGGGAAGGTGGAGGCCATCATCTGGAGTGGAGCGAAGCGCTGTATTTCCCCACACCTCCAATAAGCGATTCTTTTCGCAACTATGACGTTCTCCCTAATTCATTCTTGTAACTATCTAAGCAAAGAGCCGAGAACTGGGCCGCCTCGATCCGAACCTCTATTTGAGTGAAACCAATGAAGATCTCTACGATGTGTCAATTGATCACTTGGGTCGGGTGTGGTTCACCGTCTCCTACGATGAAACCGCCGAACAACTACGCATTACTATTCACAAAGCGCGTAACCTTCGCTCTCCCCGTTACCAATCCTTTCGCTCCTCCTCGGCAATCATCTCCAACGACATGACCTCGCTCGGTCTTTTGACACCGGCCCCCACTCAGGATTGCCGTATCAGGTTGGTTTTTCTCCCTTCTCTCCTCCCCTTTCTCTCGCTTAATTGGCAGGGACAGTTTCTACACGGTGATAATTTAACGTCAAAAATCTACGGGGCACAGATGCTTTCGCATAGTGAGCTCCATTCCTTAATTTCTGTTTTAAATTTGATGACCGACGCTTCGTAAGCCGCTTTATTTTCTTCGCTCCCCCTTGCTGCAATGCATCGTAGGCCTTGCATCTCTTTTATTTTTCCACTGCGAAAAGTAAAAACTTTGCAGGGTTTTAATAGCAGCTTATTTTATTATTCTAGTCATGGATTAACTCCACATTCTATTTCCCTTTCTCCTTAAAAGATTGCTCTTAGTGGGCGTTGGTGAATCTTTCGATGCCTATGCATTGCCCTTTTCATAGAAAACAATGCATTGGACTATACGGATCCGGTGAATTGATGAGAAGCAGGAAATATTCAGTTTTGAAACTCTCATTGCAATTTAGGGTGGGGGAAGAGATGCAGACAGTTGACTTTAGCTGCACATCCATATTTTGACAGGGCTTTTGTTATTTACTTAGTTTTTCGATTCGCTTTGTCGATAGGAGTTGGTTCAGAGATGTTCCTAGAAGTCATACTTGATTCCAGTCGTAGTACATCAGGCTGAAATGTCATGGTAAGCACAGCATCTGTTGCCCATCAGAGTGATGTCGCACGACAAGAGGGAAACCGTCATGTGCTCACTGTAGACGGCACACGTGTGAGGCTTTCTTTGCCGATGTGGAGGGGAATGCGGCCAGTCAGAGAGAGGCAACAGAATGAAGCATCAGAACTAGAAAATAATAATTTTGTATCCGAATGATAACTTTGGTGACAAACGAAAGCAAACAAGACTGATGTCTCCACTCCATTTCTCCTCTTTAACCAATGTGCATTCCATTTTTAGCACTTCATTGTCCCACTCAAACCACTTTACTTAAATCGACCAACCTTTTTCTAGTGCAATGCCATCATTTTAAGATCGTAACAGTAGAGAAACGCACTTACCACCGCTGCAAGGAGGAGAGTGGGAGTTAGTAGACATTGCCTTGCGAAAAAATAAAGCTGACAAAAGGTTGCAAGCAAATGAGGCGAAATTTACCCCTTTTTAGTCTCCTTAGCTGGTGGTCCATGGGCAGCCTGCGATCTATGCGATTGTCGTCTCTGGGGAAGGTAAGTTTATTGGCAGCATTGCTGAGGCTGAAAACTTCGGAGTTATGCCTTTGTGCTGGGAGGCACAAGCAGTGGTGGCTTAAAGTCATGTAGCCATAGTTCCTGATTTTTGAGGGGCTGTCTGAATCAAGACTACACTCCAGTTGAGTGTGGAGCGAGTAATCAGAACTAAATGACAGCACAGCTCTTTGATGCAAACTATGGCTAAGCCGCTGTTCGTACGCAAAGGTGGAATATCAGGTGACGCACTTTATCCCTTATCCCCACTTCAAAAATAAATTGTTGTTGGTTCAAGTGGTCTCGACAACATAAACTTGCTCAAAATCGTTTTTTTATTACATCGGACCTTTAAATCCGGCATTCTCGGAATTTGAATCACAGCTAATGCAGTTTCCATGCTTTGAGAAACTAGTAGTACTATCTTTGGTGGGTGTTCTGTCTCCGTTCTGTAGGTTTTTAAGCTCGAGTTGTGCCCATCAGGTCTGACGCACATCGTACGATTTTGAGCCACCAAACTAAAACAACTTTCTGCTCACGTCTTGCGTGACTGAACGTATTCAACTAATTGCTGGAGTTGGAATGAACGAGTGAAAAGAGCAATAAAGAGATGCACTACGTAGTTCTATTTTACTGCTTTGATTGAGCTTCAAATGCGGTTTTATTTTATTATGGGCTACTTAGAGCCCCGTCCTTGTACCTCCGCCTGCCAGCCTAACTCCAGTGTCAAGCCATTGGCGTCTATCACCTCTGCACGTCTTTAGCGCATGATCCACCTCAGTGGTACGCTTTCCTTCTTCTTCTTCTTCCTCTTCTTCCTGCTCCTCCTCTTTGTCTTCGTCCGACAGCGTGCATCAAGACGATTGGAAAGAGAAGAGAGAAAGATAATCGTCTTTCCGGAATTATTTATGGCGAAATGAATAGTATAGTGAGACAAGCTGTCCTCCACCCCTCTTCTGGGACCCACCTTATCAGGTGCCAGTGGCTACATTCTAGGCTAGGAGTATCTTCAGGTGTAAGCTGCATTTCACAATATGTAAATGTAACAATAAGACTGTTTTTAGGGTTTAAACAATGACTCTTATCAAAAAAATTAAGGCTACTTTGACGAAAAAGTGTGTACTGTGAAATACGCAGCGGGGAGAGAGGG